CTGGGAGCATCACTTCCTCTGTTCTGTTCGCAATGAGAGAAACTGTGCAGGAGTCTGCAGGGTACAGTCCATTTGAGCTGATCTTTGGGCTTAACGTAAGAGGCCCTCTTTAGGTGCTCAAGGAAGGATGGATGGGAGAAGACGTCAGCATAACATTCTACAACCCTTTTTCAAGGTTACAGGTGGCACGTCAAATGGCTAAGGCTAACTTTAAAACAGCTCAAAACACTATGAAGCAGAGGTTTGACAGAAACTCAAAGTTTCGCTCCTTCCATCCAGGAGACAAGGTGTTGGTACAGGAACCTATACCTGGCCAAACTTTAAAAGCTAGGTTTACGGGACTTGTGCAAATTGTTAGTAAACTATATGATGTAAATTATGTGGTAGCTCCACCTGACAAGACCTCAAAGAGTAAAATATACCACATTAATACTCCAGATAAAGTCCCAGTAATGACTCTCCTCTGCCTCTGAAGACGACCCTGACTCCTTGCACTCTATTCCTGCATTCAAGTAAAGCTTCCAAATTCTGTCCTACTCAAGGACCCTACTAGCCCTTTAATGGTGGGGCTGTCTAAGAATCACGTAACAAGCTTAACTGAGTTCCTACAATCTTATCATGATATCTTTTCGGATGCTCTGAAAAAATGTATATTAGGATATCACGATGTAAATGTTGGAAACTCTAAACCTATTAAACTCTCCCCCTACAGAGCTAATCTTGAAAAACAGAGGCTACTTCAGCAGGAGGAAGAAATTGTGTTACAGCGTAGGTTAGTGGAGGAGGAGTTTACTCCAAGGGCTTCTCCATGAACCCTTACTAAGAAAGCTGATGGAGGTTTTCGAAAGTGTACAGACTACCTTAAGGTGAATGAGATCACTATTTCAGATGCTTACCCTCTGCCACATCTGAATGACATAATCGACTTCGTGGGTAAGGCTACTTTTGTATCTAACTTCGACCTACTTAAAGGTTACCATCAGGTACCTTTAACAGATAAGGCGAAGGAAATCTCTGCCTTTGTAATTCCTGGAGGTCATTAACAGTATACAGTAACCCCCCTCAAGAACTGATCCATCAGGCTATTAAAGGACTTGAAGGCACGGCCACTTACTTAGATGATATTGTGTCGGACACTTGGGACCAACATATGTTTAGGCTTAAGGCTCTCTTTGAGACTTTTCAGAGTTTCCACTGAACTGTAAATTTATCCAAGTCATCTTTTGGCCAGTCTACTGTTAATTTTTTGGGCCTTGAAATAGGTAGTGGCAAAGTGGCCCCTAAATTTGCTAAAAATCATGCCATTAAAAATTATCCAGTACTTTGTGATAGGAAATCCCTCCAACATTTCCTAGGTATGATATGGTTTTTTAAAAGATTCTGTAAGAATTTAGCAGTGTGGTAGCCCCTTTAATCTCACTTACCAGTCACAAGTCCCTTTCCCAGTGGACCCCGGAATGTCAAGACACTTTTGCTATGGCAAAATGAATCCTTTGCACTGCACCCATTCTTCTGTCTCATGATTTCTCAAGCCTTTTACATTACAGGTTGATGTTTGTGAGTTAGGGGTTAAGGCAGTACTTCTACAAGCTGGGGATGATGAGTTGTAACCTGTGGCTTACTACTCTGCCAAATACGAACCTCACCAGAAAGCCTACTCCACAATCGAAAAAGAAGCCCTCGCTCTTATACTGGCATTAGAGCAATTCGAGGTCTACTTGGGTCAGTCCTCTCATGTGGCTACAGTCTACAGTGATCACATCCCTCTGGTGTATCTTAATTAACTCCAAGAAAAAACCACAGCACAAGACTCAAGAGATTGAGTCTCAGGCTACAACCATATAAAATATGTCTTGTTCATATTGATGTCAAAGATAATAAGCTGGCTGATACTTTTTCAAGAATATAAAATTTTAACGTTTAGGTTAGGATGCATTAGGGACTATATAGGTAGAATAGCTCTTTTCCTCCTTTTTTCTTTTGTATATATATACAAAGTTTGATGTTACTGTGGTGGGGATTTTTTAGCGAGGGGATATTCTGCTACTGTCCACAGATACCTTGAACCTACGTTAGCCCTACTGTCAGCTGTCTTGCTCTAGGTTCAGAGTTTGACTTTATGTCTCAAGAACAGTTGAGTTCTATCTAATGCGTTGGATGGTTGAGAGGAAAGGCTGTTCCATTATTGTAATGTGCGATGGCAGCACTCTACCCATGGAGGTTTAAGCCTTGTCATGGCCATTAGAGCCCTTTTATGGTTGAGATGTGGCATGCAAAGAGTATATTACATTTATTCATTCGGCTTCCTCCCGACCAGCGAACTGGGTGCTAAGGGTTTAATGATTAAGGGGGCCTAATTGTTAAATCAGTACCTTGGTTCAGTCAATCATAATGTGAGTCAAACAATTGCTAAGGTGAAGTGGAAGCACTCATTGTTAGCTCTTGTCAGATTCATACAGCTGCTGGTTGATCACTGTTGTCTCTTGTCTCTGGCTCGTGCTTGCCTCTTGACCACCGTGATACACTTATTTTCCAAACTATTGTATATATTGTGCATAAGGGTAAATACCTATATCATACTTGGTGAAGGAAAATATAATTTAAAGACTACTGCTGTGTTTATTTTGTCTCCAAGTCCCTTTACAACCCAGGTTAACAGGTCTTTCTTACCTGAGTGCATAATATAAATATTGCAGCTGGATGTTAGAAGTAGTGGTTGTGTCAGCATGATGGTAGTGGTGGTACAGTACCAGGCGTGTACAGTGGTGGTGGGTGAGGGCAGCCAGCAGGTAAGGTAGGTCAGGTAGGTCTCCTGGGTCACCATGGATAATAATCTTCACCTTGCAGGAGCTGAGGTGTGGTAAGAAGCAGCGTAGCTTCTCACACGTCTATCACGTACGTCAATTGTTTCTTCAGTATTGAAGAAGTAAGGTATTTCTTTGACAATTGCTGGAGACATTTTAGCATTGTCAAGGAGGTCGAGCCACTGGTCATTGTCTCTCATACCAGACTCATGCAGGAGATGAACCACTTCCCGTGCTGGTGTGTCAGGTACCTTTTCTAGTACAAGGTGCAGCAGCCCAGCCACATGTATCAGAACATTCAGGTACTTGTTCATGTCTACTACACCTGACCTGATGCTTTCTTCTAACACTCCTCTGATACTGACACGTGCGTCAGGTGTAGCTGAAGCACGTGTAGCAGAGGCAGGTGTAGGTGTAGAATACTGTGGGTTATTAAGATTGTTGACAATATAGAGAGCAGCGAAGCAGTCTTGTATTCCCTTGTGAGGAGCTGAGTACTGCTCCTTGATCCCCAGCATCGTCCAAGTTGGTCTTAAACAAAGGAACGCTGACAACACTTCTTTATAAGGTAAACACAAATCATCACAGGCAGATATCAGTTTATCTACAGTTTGTTCCTCAAGGTTTAACTGATCAACTGAAAGACTTTCTAGCGCTGTCTTGTATATTGTTATCAAAACATTGTTAATGTTACCCTTTAATTTCCTGTCATCCATATACTTTGCATCTTGATGGTTGGTCAGTCTCTGTATTAACTTGTGTTTACACAGTTGATGAATATTATAATATAGCTCCGATGTGAGTGACAGATGTTAAGTTTAGCTGGTCAGGGTCGTTGTCCCAGATGTATATCATGAGAATCAAATTCATTGGTAATCTTAAGTGATCATGAAGTTCTTCTATCTTTATCACTTTTTTTAACCAGTTCATCAGTATTTCTGTTATTCCCTGTTTGTTTGGTTATCTCCTGGTGATTCAGACGCACAAATTGTTCCACATTTGTCCTAGATATACCATGTAGTGTTTGCATGTTGCACAGTATATTCTGCAGGGATTGTTCTACTGAAGTTTCTCAACTTTTTCTGGTCGTGAAGTGCACAGAAAAGCAATATTAGAACAGTACTTAAATTCTTGCAGTAGACTCTGAACTAGTGTTCTAGAACTGTCATTGTCTTCATCAAGGCCGTCAATTATAATTAAGATCTTGCAAAGCTTCATCAGTTTCGGAAGAATTTCCTTGAATTTTATAACAACTTCTGGCATCAGTCTGTCCAGGAGGTGCTGGTAGCAGGTCATTGTTGGGTCCCGGCACTGTACCCACAGTAGAAGCTCGTAATTATCTAAGCCACTAATATTACCTTGACCTCCCTGAGTCCATTCATCTATTACTAACGTCAGTAGAGTAGTCTTGCCACTGCCAGTCAGACCTTCAACCAATATTATATGTGGGTGAGTAGATGTACCTTGTTGTTGTGAGAAAGTTCTTGTAGATGAAGGTGCTGCTGTAGTCTGAGCAAGTTTAAGAAGGTGTTGATAACTTATATGTTGACCTTGACCTCCACGTTGTCCATGTTTAACCTCAATATCTACAAAAATTTTGTCTACTTTAAGTTTCAAGTCACTAGTGATGAAAGACACCGGGTTGACGTAGCTGATTGTTTGGAAGATCTTCTTAAGTTTGTCATGACTCTCATTAATCATAAGATGTTTGAGCTCGTGGCCACAATACTTCAGTATGTCATCCACTCCAAGAATCTCGTTCATAATGTGATCCAGGTCATCATTCATCTGTGTGATCTCTTGGTTCACTTTATCCTGGTCTCTCCAATACTTCTCTCCAGATGTCTTAAGACAACCAGTTAACAACTCCCGTAGTTCTCTTATATTTTCATAATAATTTTCATTAGTAACTGCAAGTTGACCATGAAGAACATTGTTCCTCATGTTCTTTATTGACGTAATGTAGTACTCCATTTCTTCACTTTCAATATACATTTTTGATCATTGAATGGAGCTACATCCTTACAGGCGAGTTTGATGCTAAGATACAACAGTGACACATCAAACTCTGATCCATCTGGACTCTTCTTAATCATCTCTTTTTGTGTTTTGTCAAAGAATTTTGATGTTGCTGGAACATTTATTTGTTTTAAGTAATCATCCAACTTCATATTGGTAGGTTTGTCTGGGGTTCCCCAGAGGAATGTCTTACACAAGACATTTTTGGCACAGATGTTAACAGCCTTGATAAGTCTACATCATTAAACACTTGTTGATCAGCCATAGTGTATTATGACACATATACTGTGATGTTAGGAGCTTGATGGAGACCCAACTGTTGCTGTTGCTGCCGTTACTGCTGTTGCTGCTGCTCTTGTTACTTTTGCTGCTGTTGTTGCTTGTTAACAGTACCACAAGAAGTGACAGTCATTACTGATTCACTTCTCTTTCTTTATCTGAAAAAAATGATATAAAGTACGATAATATTGAAAATACAAGTGTCAGACTGTAACATGTATAATATTACAAGTGTCAGACTGTAACATGTATAATATTACAAGTGTCAGACTGTAACATGTATAATATTACAAGTGTCAGACTGTAACATGTGTAATATTAAAAGATAACAAGAATAAGACTCATGTATAACACCTGGGTATCAATATTGATGAATAAGACTCATGTACAACACCTGGGTATCAATGCTGATGAATAAGGCTCATGTACAACACCTGGGTATCAATATTGATGAATATTGATGAATATTGACTGAACAGTCCCTGGCTAACACCCAGCATTCTCAAATCCATAAATACAAAACACCAATATGAAAAACAGTACAGAATGGGTCACATAACCAGAGACCAAACAAAACGTTACTCGTCAATCCTAACCAGCCTGATAAGAAGGGCAAAAAAAAATGTATTATGATAACAGATTATCCAACTTACGAGGTGATATAAAAAAGACCTGGAAAACCCTATCAGAAATTCTGGGAACAAAAAAGATATCACGAAATAGCGAAATAAAATTAGCAAAATCAGATGAACCCCAACTCCCACCAGCAGAAACAGCAAACAGACTCAATGATTTCTTCTCCACTATAGGACAAAACCTTGCCAATAATATCCCAAGCTCAGATACCCCACCAAATGACTACCTCACCGGCAACTACCCGAACACACTGTTCCTAGCTCCGACTAACCCATACGAAGTCTCCCTTATTATCAACGCACTAAAAAACAAGGCAGGAGATTTAAATACCTTACCACCCTTTATATACAAAAAACTGTCACAAGTGCTATCACCAATCATTGCAACACTCTTTAACAATCCATAGAATCTCCACCTTCCCTACAGTACTCAAAATAGCAAGGGACACCCCGATCCACAAAGGAGGAGACCAAACAGAGTTGAATAACTATAGGCCAATATCCAACTTACACCCTCTCTCAAAAATCTTCGAAAAATTAATTCATAAACGAATCTACTCCTACCTTATCTCCCAAAACATACTCAACCCTGCCAATTTGGATTCAGGCCTAATAAAAATACTAATGATGCTATAATTACACATGCTAGAACATATATACACTGCAATAGAGAAAAAAGAAGTCCCACTGGGGATCTTCATTGACTTACGTAAAGCTTTTGATACAGTTGACCATGACTTGCTCCACGTAAAATTGTCACACTATGGTATAAGAGGGCACTCCCTCAACTACCTCAAGTCATACCTCAGCAACAGAAGCCAATATGTGTACGCAAATGGGGCAAACTCTTCTGTGCAACCAATTACAGTTGGTGTCCCACAGGGAAGTGTCCTTGGCCCTCTTCTCTTTCTCCTATACACAAATGACCTTCCAAATGCTTCGCAATTACTCAAACCCACACTATTTGCAGATGACACTACATACGTCTTCTCTCACCCGAGCCCAGTCACGCTAGCCAATACTGTAAATACCGAATTACAGAAAATATCTACCTGGATGAGGACTAACAAACTTACACTAAACATTGACAAAACCTACTTCATTCAGTTTGGTAACAGAGCTACAGATGTCCCTCTTAACATAATGATAAACGGATCACCTATCACAAAGCTAACAGAGGGAAAATTCTTAGGAATCCACTTGATAATAGACTCAAATTTCATACACATATACAACAAATTTCTAAGAAAATTTCCAAGACTGTAGGCATACTATCGAAGATACGGCACTATGTTCCACAGTCAGCCCTCCTGGCCCTATATCACTCTCTTATTTACCCCTATCTCACCTATGGAATTTGTGCATGGGGCTCAACAACAACTAACCATCTCAGACCACTAATTACCCAACAAAAGGCTGCAGTTAGAATGATAACAAATTCTCACTACAGGCAGCACACTCCACCAATATTCAATACACTAAACCAACTCACCATACAAAACATCCATACTTATTACTGCACCTATTACATACATAGAACACTTAACTCTGATATTAACCCTCCCTCAAACATCTCCTTGCCAACCTCAACAGAACACATGACCATAACACAAGGCACAGATCACTCTTGATGTTCCTCGTGTCCATCTCACACTATGCAAAAACTCAATGCACATAAAAGGCCCTAAAATCTGGAACTCATTACCTGTAAATATAAAAGAAACACTACCTGTTTTAAAATTCAAGTCTCTTCTCAAAGATCACTTTACTTACCCAAAACCAAATAAATACTGAATAACTGAACCTTATAAATTGTATATCTTAAATGTTTCTCACAATTATATCACATAAATGTTAAACCTAAAACCCAATCTAACTTTATTATTTTTTAAATACACTACCTAACAGGAATACTCCATACGACTGAATGTACAACAATGCATACAACCATATGACCTGTCTTTGTAATACTCATTTGTGCTTTATAGTTATCTGTTTACAATAATGTATTATCACTGATTTCATCATTGCTTAGTTAATTTTAAGCCAGCCCGTAATGCTATGCATAGTATAAGTGGCTTTGGCATGCTGCTCTTATCTGTATTTTTTGTACATCTGTATGTATGCTCAAATTGTTAATAAATAAATAAATAAATAAATAAGACTCATGTAAAACACCTGGGTATCAATATTGATGAATAAGACTCATGTACAACACCTGGGTATCAATATTGATGAATAAGACTCATGTACAACACCTGGGTATCAATATTAATGAATAAGACTCATGTACAACACCTGGGTATCAATATTGATGAATAAGACTCATGTACAACACCTGGGTATCAGTATTGATGAATAAGACTCATGTACAACACCTGGGTATCAATATTGATGAATAAGACTCATGTACAACACCTGGGTATCAATATTGATGAATAAAACTTATGTACAGCACCTGGGTATCATTACTGATGAAAAAGACTCATGTACAACACCTGGGTATGACCTTCACAGCAGACATAATCAAGCTACTACTGGTGTACCAGCACAGTAACTACTATACTGGACTACTGAGGTACCATCACAGTAACTACTGTACTGGACTACTGATGTACTAGCACAGTGACTGTTGTACTGGACTACTGATGTACTAGCACAGTGACTACTATACTGGACTACTGAGATACTAGCAGAGTAACTACTTCACTGGACCACTGAGGTACTAGCACAGCGACTACTGTACTGGAGGACTGAGGTACTAGCACAGTGACTACTATACAGGACTTCTGAGGTACTAATACAGTGACTACTATACTGGACTACTGAAGTACTAGCACAGTGACTACTATACTGGACTTCTGAGATACTAGCACAGTGACTACTATCATGGACTACTGAGGTACTAGCACAGAAACTACTATACGGGGCTTCTGAGGTACTATCACAGTGACTTCTAGTCTTGACTACTAAGGTACTAGCACAATAACTATTGTACTAGACTACTGCGGTACTAGTACAGTAATTACTATACTAGACTGCTGAGGTACTAGCACAGTAACTACTGTACTGGACTACTGACGTGCTTGCACAGTGACTACTATACTGGACTACTGAGGTACTAGCACAGTGACTACTATACTGGACTACTGAGGTACTAGCACAGTGACTACTTTACCGGACTACTGAGGTACTAGCACATTAACTACTATATGGACTACTGAGGTGCTAGCACACTGACTACTATACCCGACTACTGAGGTACTAGCACATTAACTACTATATGGATTACTCAGGTGCTAGCACAGTGACTACTATACTGGACTACTGAGGTACTTGCACAGTAACTACTATAGTGGGCTACTGAGATACTACCACAGTAACTACTGTACTGGACTACTGACTGACTAGCACAGTGACTACTGTACTTGACTACTGAGGGACTAGCACAGTGGCTACTATACTGGACTACAGACTGACTAGCACAGTGACTACTATACTGGACTACTGAGGGACTAGCAGAGTGACTACTATACTGGACTACTGAGGGACTAGCACAGTGACTACTATACTGGAGTACTGAGGGACTAGCACAGTGACTACTGTACTGGTCTTCGGAGGGACTAGCACAGTGACTACTAAACTGGACTGTTGGGAGGGTTTGTAGAGATAAGATGGTTGAAGATAAACACACTTGTTGGGTGGTAACACTTATATTAGCAGAATGTGAGAGGGGAGCCCAGCCTGCCTGTCGATGCCTATACGTCTAACCATGAACTGAGAGAGAGGGAGAGCGCCCGACGCTCCCATGCGGCATCATGTATCACCCCGTAGCCACTGAGCCTTGCGAGCGGGGACCCAAATATATACATGGTATACATCAAGGGATACTGCACAATTTTTGAGTATGGGAATACATCTATTGCAGTTCGATCATTTTATGCAGTTCGCATCCAACTTACAGGCTAAGAGGCAGGTGACTCGGGCTGTTTTAATACAATGCAAAAACATAGATAATTTTTGAAAAATCACAGAAATGGTTTGTGATGTCTCAACGAAAAG